CCAATCAAAAGTCAGCCACCACGGTTACCACCCAATCAGCTACAAGTCTTGAAATCACTCAACTATCCAATCAGCGAGTCAGCCACCAAGGTAACTATCCAATCAGCAAGTCTTTCAATACCCTACTGGCCAATCAGAAGTCAGCCACCAAGGTAACCATCCAATCAGCAAGTCTTTCAATATACTCTACTGACCTATCAGCTAACCATGCTGACATTTACAGCAAACCTACAACTACTTGAAACCAGTGAACAAATCAGAAAATAAAGCTGAACATTAATGCTGTTTGTTCACCTTTTTCAAATGTTATCATTCCTCGACTTGCTCCAATATCGCTGGCATTAAAAGAAGSGTTGCTACTAGATATGGTCCATTCAGCTGTGGCACGTCCTGCAGTCCCATCTCTGACCACCAGTAGAATAACGTTCCTTGATGAAGGTCCTTCTGGCTCCTGTACGGGAATGGTTTGATGGAGTTTTTCAAAACCAATTTCACCATCGGCGTCCGATGCTGTGACGTTCAGGTAAATTTCGCTTCTGTTACCTAGTGTGGGAGTCTTTGCTTTGATGATAGGCAGATCTAGAAATTAGAAAGAACAAGTGATGTAGTGAGGAGAAAACCAGGTTTTTTACAACATCTTTGATTCCCAGCTCAAACTACTGTTTCTCCCGATTTCAAACTACGTGTCATTCGCTTCAGTACTATTTTTTATTTGCCTATGCACCGAATCGAAATATGGCGACCAATTTGAATAACTATTGTTCTGTATTGACTGCGACTGACTAGCATCGTGTTCATATGGAAATACAAAAGCGTTTTCACATGTATGAGAGGCTAGTCAGTCCGCCTAGCTATTCGGTGTATAACACTTGAGAAGATTCTCACTGACTTATATGGATAAAACTCGAAAAGAGACTCTTATTCTCAAGGTAATGACAGGCGTGGAAAAACAGTAATCGTATTAACTCAGTATAAGGTCTAGAGTTAGTCTCCTCAGCCCATGATCAGATGATTGACTAAAGACCCTTTCCACTAAATCCCTACCTGGGGCCAAAACTGGCAATGAAAAATATTAACCTAAAAAAATATCTCAATCCTCAAAAAATCGAATTCCTTTAATTTGAGCCCAAAAATTGGAAATTAGTGCAAAGGTTCTATTACCTAAAAAAATACATGGACTATAAACTAGTGTCTAGTCAATTAAACATACTCATACTGACAAAGTACCCACCTCCAACCAGATGCGTATCTAATAACTGTATCTTAAAGAAAGAACCAAACTTAAGAAAACTATCCGTAGGAATGACCACAGAGAAAGAAGCACTTGTTTYTCCACTTGAGAAGGTTACRTSTCCACTTGGCACCAAGCTTAGTTCGTTGGACGGTGAGCCTGAACCAGGGAGGTAATACTCAATGGAGTAATTGACAGATATGGATCGTAATGTTCCACCATTGCGTTCAATCTCTAGGCTTAACTGACGTGGTGTTGTGTTCTACGATACGAAAAGTAGGTACAAAGTTAATGCAATTCATTTGTTTAATTTAAGAGTTTAGGATGGGTTGCAGATGAGTGGAACTGGTACTTAAACTAGCAATAACTGACTAACAAGGAGGGGGATCAAGGGGGAGGGCTAAGGATGATTGCACATCCTTCTCCTTCCTATAATAGGACAAAATCTGGACACACACATCTACTGCTTCAAACTCATAAATATGCAACACCCTAATTTAAATTTATCTCGATCTCATGAGAAAGTAGATTATGAATGAGTGCGAAAAGTTACAGCACAAGTAACGATTTAACCTCGTGGCGTTCTTCTTTTCCCAAAAACACCCCAGTTACCGAGTTTTTTCTGCGGCTGGTCAAAAAAACAATAAAGAAAACCAACCAACCTGAATAATTTTCTGCTGGCTTTGACTGGAAAACTCGACGACACCATAAACTGAATCGCTGTCAGACACAAAGAACACAGCTCTGCGTGCTTCTTGTGTGTTGTCAAGGCGACCTCCACCCGTTGTATT